GTTACTTATTGAACTCAAGTTATTTTTAATTTTGTTAATCAATCATGTTGTTCAAGTAGTTATAGTTCTCTTTGAAAAGTAATTAAACTAATGACATTTTTGACGATGTAAAGTTTGAGTCTCAGGCTTGACACTCCCTCATCTCCTAAAAAACAAATGTTAATATTATCAATATAATTGCCAATTAAAAAAAAAGTTATTTTTAGTATTATTAAGTTTATAAATTATTATGTATTTAAATTGTTATAAATATAAATATAATTTTTAATTTTAAACTTAGTACTCATAAGACTTGTGAGTACACATGTAAATTGGAACTCAAATTTATTTTTTTATTGAATTTGATATTGGGTTTGGTATTCATGTTAAACTTTATTCAAGTTATTTACAAGCTATCTTATTCATTAATAATTCTATTTATAAAGGAAAATGACTGATACACACTTAATTCAATATATTTTTTTACATTTATCTAGTTCAGTAATTAAAAAATAATAATATAAGTATAATCCATTAAGTCGATTCATGAATTTTGTGTACGTAATTGTATTTTTAAATTTATCTATTTTTTATTTAAAGTAAAAATAATAATAATATTTTAATAAATATATTATGTAATGTATTAAATTAAAGTGTATCAATTAGTGTCTTATTTATAAATGAATATGAGAAATGGGAATAAAACGAAATTAAAAATCCCGGATATTTGAGAAAATGGTAACAAAATCTATTTTTGCAGCACTAATATTTTTTTGTACATAGGCTTACCTATTTTCATCATGCAGGATATTTGTTACCATGTGAACATGATTTTAGATATTTTTTGCCATTTTCTCCTATGTTGGGATTTTTGTTGCCATTAATTAAAGCTTTTGCAATCAGTGGCGTAAAACATGAGACAATGAATCTTCTCTCTGAGATTTCGATGCTAACTTATATGAATGAATAAATGTTTGACATCACAATCTTCATTCATATGGAAAACTTGTTATAGCAAATGGACAAGTTGTGTTGGACTGGTGAAGCTTCAAACCCCACAAAAATAGATTACACACTCTACAAAAATTGTACAGAAGTCCCCAAGATTAGTTACCTTATAGACAAGTTAAAAGAGTACGGCATTGGGCTCTCACAAAATATCTATATATACAATACCAAAAGTTCCCAAACAATTGTCCCCTCCTCTCCATGGCTGCACAATATGTATTCCTTTGTGTGTGGTTTGCCTTTATCTCTATCTCCCACCTTATGCCTGCAGTAGAATCCGATCATTACATTGTCCACATGGACACATCAACCATGCCCAAAGCCTTTTCTAGCCAACATAATTGGTACTTAGCCATCCTAAATTCTTTGTCAGCTAATTTTCCTAGCAGTAAGACTGACTCTCTGTTTGTCTCCTCTAAGCTTATATATAGTTATACTAGTGTTATTCAGGGCTTTAGTGCAAGTCTTTCACCAGATGAGCTTGAGGCCTTGAAAATCATTCCAGGGTATATTTCTTCCATTAGGGACTCACCTGTGAAGCTTGATACCACTCATTCATCCCAGTTTATTGGCTTGAATTACAACTCCGGTGCTTGGCCGGTGTCCAACTTTGGCAAAGATGTCATCATTGGGGTGGTTGATAGCGGTATTTGGCCAGAAAGCGAAAGCTTTAATGATGATGGAATGACTGAAATTCCGTCCAGATGGAAAGGGGAATGTGAGAGTGGCACCCAATTCAACTCCTCATTGTGCAACAAGAAGCTAATCGGAGCTAGGTTCTTCAACAAAGGTCTAATTGCCAACAATCCAAATGTCACAATCCAAATGAACTCTCCACGTGACACCGATGGACATGGGACACATACTTCCTCAACGGCCGCTGGAAATTATGTACGGAATGCATCATACTTTGGCTATGCCACTGGAACTGCCTCAGGAATGGCTCCGAGAGCTCGGGTGGCCATCTATAAAGTTTTCTGGGATGAAGGCAATTCTGCATCTGATATAATTGCTGCAATCGATCAAGCAATAATCGACGGTGTTGACGTCCTTTCCTTGTCATTGGGACACGACCGTGTCGAATTGTACAATGACCCAATAGCAATAGCCACATTTGCAGCCTTGGAGAAGAACATTTTGGTCTCTACATCGGCCGGAAACGAAGGGCCATTCTTTGGGAGCCTACACAACGGAATCCCTTGGGTTTTAACTGTGGCCGCCGGTACTATGGATCGTGAATTCGGCGCTGTTTTAACTCTTGGAAATAAAGTTTCTGTCTGGGGACGGACTCTTTATCCTGGAAATTTAACATCTTCGACCCAATTTCCAATCGTTTTCATGGATAAATGTGATGATCGAACTGAATGGAATAAACTCCGAGGAAAGATTGTCGTTTGTGAGGACAAAAATGACTCAATCAGTGATCAATACTCAAACATCCTGAGTGCCAATGTTATTGGAGGGGTGTTCATATCCAATAGCTCTGATTCAGAAAATTTCTACCTCAGCTCATTTCCAGCCATTTTCTTGACGCCAAAAGACGGTGAAACCGTCAAAGACTACATTAAGAGGAATGCCAAGCCGAGCGCAACCGTGGAATTTCAAAAGACAGCCTTGGAGACTAAACCAGCCCCCATTGTGGCTAGGTACAGCTCTAGAGGACCATCCTTAGGCTGCCCATATGTCCTGAAACCTGACATTATGGCTCCTGGAACTTTTGTCCTGGCATCCTGGCCTGAAATTAGTCCGCTGGGGCAATTGAATTCGAATGTTCTGTATGGGAAATTCAATGTACTTTCTGGTACGTCCATGGCATGTCCACATGCATCCGGTGTGGCAGCACTGCTGAAGGGGGCGCACCCAGAATGGAGTCCAGCAGCAATCCGATCAGCCATGATGACCACATCGGATTCAATAGACAACACTGGTCGTTCAATCAAAGACATTGGTGACAATTACCTTACTGCCTCGCCTCTAGCTATGGGAACAGGACACATTAATCCAAATAAGGCTCTAGACCCCGGTCTAATTTATGATGCTACCATTGAGGATTATGTCAATCTTCTCTGCGCACTGAATTTCACGTCCAACCAAATCCAAACCATCACGAAGTCATCTTCCAACAATTGCTCCTTACCGTCACTGGATCTCAATTACCCTTCCTTCATTGCCTTGTTCAATACCGATGACTCAAAATCAAATTCAAAAATCGTGAAGGAATTTCAAAGAACGGTAACTAATGTTGGGATTGGGATGTCTACTTATACAGCAACATTGACACCAATGAAAGGATTTGAGGTCAGCATCACACCTGAAAAATTGATTTTCAAAGAGAAGAATGAGAAGCAGAGTTACAAGGTCACTATAGAAGCCCCAAGAAAGATGGAAGATTCAGTTGTTTTTGGTTATCTCAGTTGGGTTGAAGCTGGAGGCAAACATGTGGTCAGGAGTCCCATTGTGGCCACGAGCATGCAACTTGATAATTAGTGATAGTATTTTTCTATTTGAAAAAAAAAAAAATTAGTTTTAGTACATTTAAATCATCAATATATTTAGCAGAGTAGGCAATTCAGCTTTGATAGTTTTAGGTACTGGATAGGGTCTTTCTGTGTGATGTGGTTGAGATACCGTGGCCGTTGTGGCAGAACCTCGGTTTTTTTATATTTTTTCAAAGGAATTGAAATAATGAGGAAGTAAAAATTAAGATTTTTTTTATATGTTAATTTATTAACAAGTGCATTAGTCGCTTAAATAATAAAGTATTAAATAGAATATCGTTCTTATGGAAATTATGATTAAGTATAAAAAATAACTAATTTTAAAATTAGTTGAACAATTAAAAAAGTTGTTCTAGCTAAAATTAATTAAAAGAAAATAATAATTTAAAATAAAATTCCCAAGATATGAGTTATTAATGCATTTAATTTCACTATAATTAATATAGATTCTAGATAATTATACTTTAAAAATATTTACCACTCATATGACAGTGAAATTTTTTAT